AAATAGTGCTGCTACAAACATAGGGGTACATATATTCTGAGTGATGTTTCAAGCTTCTTAGGGTATATTCCTAGAAGTCAGATCACTGGGTCAAATGGAAGTTCAGTTTTTAATTTTTTGAGGTAACACCATATTGTTTTCCATAGTGGCTACACCAGTCTGCATTCCCACCAGCAGTACTAGAGTCCCCTTTTCTCCACACCCTCACCAACACTTGTTGTTTGATCATTTGTTGATGGCGGCCATTCTGACAGGTGTGAGGTGATACTTCATTGTTGTTTTAATAAATTAGGTTTACTGGTCTTTCTATTTATAATAACACTAGTCCCTAAGAAAAGCTGGAATCTGGGGAGCTTTTTCTTTTTTAATTTTTTTTTTATTGATTTTAGAGAGAGAGGAAGGGAGAGGGAGAGCTAGAAACACTGATGAGAGAGACCATCGATTGGTCACCTCCTGCATGCCCCCCAATGGGGATTTGGCCCACAACCTGGGTATGTGCCCTGACCGGGAATCGAACCAGTGACCTCTGAGTCACACTGGCCGGGCTGGGGAGCTATTTTCTAAGGGTAGAAATTGTGCTTCCCACACCCCATGAATGAAGTTTATTTTTACAAATTTATCATCTCATTAATTTCATAATACTTTGGTGGATAATAATAGTATAATTTACCTACATGCTTAATTCCTAGGAGATGAAAAACACCAGTTAAATTCTAAAATGTCTCCAACTTACATATAACTTTCATGTTCTATCAGCTCAAAATGCATTGTTCTTGCTGTAATAAAAAGATTATTATAAATGCTGATCTATAACATTTTTTTTTTTTTTTTTTTTTTATCCTCACCTGAGGATATTTTTCCATTTTTTGTACAGATAGAGTGGGAGGGAGAGAGAGAGAGAAACATCGACGTGAAGGGACACATCGAGTGGCTGCCACCCGCACGACCAACCAGGGCCGGGGACAAACTGCAACTGAAGTATGTGCCCTTAGCGGGAACCGAACCCGGGTCTCTCCGGACCGCAGGCTGACGCTTTAACCGCTGAGCCAAACTGGCCAGGGCTGATCTATAACATTTTAAGACCTACAGTTGGAAAAGACCACATGACCATCAATTTAGAATGACATAACATACTTATTATTTTTATTAATGGTCTGGTTAATTACACCACTCATGTACACAAAAATCACCCAAGAAAGTTCGAGAAAATATTGAAATTGGAAGTCCCAAGCATTTTGTAGAAAAAATTTTTTTTTATCAGTTTTGTATTTGAAGTATAATTCTTTTTTTTTGTATGTGCCCCTAGCGGGAACCGAACCCGGGACTCTCTGTTCCACAGGCCGATGCTCCAACCTCTGAGCCAAACCGGCCAGGGCTGAAGTATAATTCTTGATAAATGTCACTTCAATAAGTTTTTAAATATATGAACCAACTTAAGCTCACAAATGCCAGCCCTATTAATGTCAATTCAATTCTAATTGAATTGGTTATAAGAAAATATAGTTTATTTGAGAGGAAAGACAGCAGGCTCACAAAGTACTCGGCAGGCAGGTAGCCAAAATGAGTTCAGTAGGCCTCACTGTCAAGGTGTACTCTGACAATCTACTGATGCTCAGCTGTAGCCAACTGTTGCCTTGAGGGAATACAGACAAAAACCAACAATAATAATAATTAAACACTCTGCTAATCTAACAAAGTAAGTCTGCCAGCTAAATTTAGTATATGGGCTGCAGGTTTGATCTGATCCTCCACCCCCGCAGGGTTTGTGCAGGAGGCAACCAATCCAATCGATGTGTCTCTCTCACATTGATGTTTTTCTCTCTCCCTTCCACTTTGTCTAAAGATCACTGGAAAAATATCCTTGGGTGAGGATTAACAAAAAACAAAAGTAAAAAAAACAGCTCTAGAAGGAAACAGGATGGTGATGTATTATAGAATTGTAAACCTGAAACCTATGTGATTTTATTAACCAATGTCACCCCAATAAAGTCATTAAAAGTTAAAAAACAAAAAACCCAGCTCTGAATCTAACATACTTTATGAATTTATACAAATTACAGAATCTGAGTCTCAGTTTCCTCATCAGTATCTGATTGAGTTTTTGTTTTGTTTTGTTTTTTCAGACAGAGAGAAAGTGAGAGGGAGAGAAGAAAGCTAAAAACATCAATGAGAGAGAACATTGATCAGCCGCCTCCCACATGTCCCCCCACTGGGGATTGGGCCCACAACCTGACCAGGAATCGAACCAGTGACCTCCAGGTGCATGGGTCAATGCTCAACCACTGAGCCACACCAGCCAGGCCCTCATAGTTTTTTACATGAAGTTGGAGATGTGCTCAAAAAATGTTTGCTCAATGTTAGTATTAGATGCTCAGGGATACAGATACAAAAAGGAAACAAAAGAGTAGCAGCAGCAATTCAAGCCTCCCTTCCATCTGACTGTGGGCTTAACTATGTCTCAGACTCATAAGGCCCAGTTTCACCTTCTTTCCAATCCACAGGCTATCTTCAAGGCCTACCTCACAACTCATCTATATCTCTCCTCTCTACTTCAGGCCATTCTCAGTTCCCCTGCCCTGTGAAAGCACTGTCAGGACTTCCAGTAAAACCAGAGCCCATTCCACTGAACTCCAGGTCATACCCATGAAATCCTGTTCCCTCCAACGTAGCAGTTTTTCTAAATCTTTGAGCACTGTGCACGTTGCGCACTCTTTACACTGGCTCTCAACCTTCCTAATGCCGCGACCCTTCAATACAGTTCCTCATATTGTATGTGAGCATGTGGGCGGCCCCTCCTGGAGATGGATAGAGGAGGGGTGTCTCGGTTCCCAAGAGCATCAGAAATATGTGTTTTCCGATGGTATAAGGCAACCCCTGTGAAAGGGTCGTTCGACCCCCAAAGGGGTCGCGACCCACAGGTTGAGAACGGCTGCTTTAGGACAACCTGAAAACCTATCTCCGTCTTCATTGAACAATGCTTCCATCTCTCTCTTTCCCGTTAGTTAACGTTTGTTCAAGTAAAGACAATTAACCAAAATGTCATAACACATTAACAAAAATTTCATTTCTAAGCAAATAGATTTGAAAACAACTTCCAATATCCATTCCAATGCTCTTCTTTTAAAGGAAATGTGGGCCCAGCAAGAGCAGTGTCCCATGGGCTGAGAGGTCCCAGTTCTATTTCTGTCCAGGCGCATGTCTGGGTTGCAGGTTTGATCCCCAGTAGGGGGCGTGCAGGAGGCAGCCAATCCATGCTTTACTCTCACATAAATGTTTCTCTTCCTCTCTCTAAAACAATCAATAAAAACATATTTAAAAGGAAATGTGAACTGAGAACAACCTCATTTAAGTTTTTTTAAGTATTTTTTCTTACTTCATTCTTAAACAGGTATCCAAAAAAACTATTTTCTCCAAAAAACCATGTTTGATTTTTCTGAAAAAGATGTTACATTGATTTTAATTCATATGAACAAACAATATTCACCACGTATAATTCTCTATAGCAATCCAGAACCTTTATTCCTTGAAACTTCTGAGAATCAAAAGAATGTTATGGTGCCTCTCTCCAGGAAAATGCACAGAGCTCCAAATTTTTGTATGCAATTTCAGGGAGTTGGGAGTATTCCAGGGTCTGCAGTGGATCCACCCACCCAGAACTCTAATGCTGAATATGAGGTTTGTTTCCATTATTAAATGCTATGCATCTTTTAAAAAGATGGTTTTCCTTAATAAGTCTTTTAGCTCTGAGATTAACTAGGGAGGCAGCGTCCCTTTACAACTATCACTACTTTCTAGCAGCCATTCTGACAGCTGACCAAAAAATTGCCAATTTCTTACCTCCGAAAAATTAACAGCCAAGGGAATGATTCCAGCCACGTAACATCCCGCCAACATAGCCAGAGACAACAGACTAATGGAGATGAAATCATCCATTCTGCCCTTCTTGATTCACTCACCACCACCGGACTACAAATTTTCAGTGTCTTTAAAGGGTTCTTAAACGCGTGTAATGATTCCAAGAAAACAAGAGAGACTTTCCAGTTCTTTCGTCCTCCCCGCCAGCAGATGTGTTCACGAGGCACCTTTCTCTGGCACGTACCTGGAAACAGCCCCCCTTTTGCTGATATTAGCACCAGAGAGAACTTTCAGCAATCTTAGGTCCCCAGCCCCTGGGTTTTCAGAGTCCAGTCCGTGGATTCCGGTGGGTTAAGAGACGGGAAAAGTCAAAGGGGAAAAGACGTGAATGAGCGATTTCTTCAATGGTCGGAATGAGGGTGGCACAACGGGCCCAATCTTTCCACAGACAACGTTGCAGGTGACTGCAGGAAAAGGAGGTCAACCCAGGCGAACTTGTTTGTTCTCCCGGCACCCCCAGCTCTTTGGGGCACCCTGACGGTGGTACCCCCAGGCTGGGACCAGCCCCCCAGTCCCGGCAAACTCTCCTCCGAGTGTCGAATGAGGAAGGGAGTCCTGTAAGTCTGTAAGGGTTTAGGAGTTCAGCAGCGAATCCGATGCAATGCTGGCTCAGCCCTATGCCCGGCGCTCCCCATATTACTCCACTCCGCTGGGCTTTGACCCGCAGCTGCCGATACTACAGCAGCCATGGCCGCCAAGTGGCACCCCGTCATTACAACCACTTCCGGATTGCCTCACCGCCCCCTCCTTTAAAGGGTAGTTCCGGGTGATAACCGACCTATGGCCCGGGTTTCTTAGACGGCCTCCATGTTTGAGTAGGGCTAATGAAAGATGCCTGTGTCACTGTACACATCGCTGCCCGCATTAGCCGTATGTCTGACCACGAGAGTGCGGAAGGCAAGAGTTTTGAAAAGGTAAAGATTATTTTTCACGTTCCCAAAGATTCCCTGTGTATCTCCTCGCCCTTAACCAAGGTGGCTGAAGCCGAGCCGGAATCCGCTCTAGCTGCCGGAAATGTGTGAGACTCTATGGTCCAGAAGGCTCTTTCGCGGGGCGCTTCTGACGACTTCCGGCGGCTCCTCTCGCGGGGGTTGGCTGTTGGCGGCTTTGAGGCTAAGCTCGTGTTTGGCGGTGGTGTCGGCGGCGGCTGCAGCAAAAGAGTTTGGCGCGATGGTGAGAAATGCCTAAGCGGTTCCCGGAATCCCCAGCCTCCTGGCGACCCCAGCCCCGTACATCCTTTACCCAGCCCATCCTGCGGGAGCGTGCTGGTCCCCGGCCCTCCGGCTTGTGGGTCGATCCTTCCCTTTCCCGCCGCGGAGACGCTGGGCCTGGCACTAGGCCCCAGAGCCCGCGTCCACCCCGTGGTTGCGCGCACGCCTGCCGGCTCTGGCGGGGCGCGCGGTCCTAAGGATACGCTTTCTCCAGATGGCTGCTTGGTGGAGGCACGTGTAGGGAGGCTACTCTTTCCGTTCAGATGCTCTAGTCTGCTGTAGAAACAATGGCCCGGGGAATGTCTGAAAACCTGCTCCCAAAGCTAACCGTTTGAATTTATTGCACCCAGGTTCTGAGCCAGGAAAGGTCGTCTTTGCTTTGTAGTGTGCTTTTGCAACTATTCCCTATTTTTTTTTTCTGTGCTCTTCCTTTTTAAAAAGATAGAACTTTTCTCTTTTCCGAGACCCCTGGATGCCTTGGTTTAGCGTTACTCCCAGCACTCAAGCCTGTTCTTATCCGTATTACATTCTCTTGGAAATGGAGGCTGAAAAGATAGTCCCAGCTTGAGGGTCCAGGTTCGTTAGACTCTGACAAGGGTAGTAGTGGAGTGGGTGGGTGAGCGTTTGTTTGTTTGTTGTTTTAATCCACAAAAAGGGGTTAAGAGGTAACTTCCGTTTTCTGGTTACTGCAGTTACTGTTAAGTTATGCAGTTATTGATAAGGCGCTTTTTCGGGTTGTAATTTTCTGAATTAAGATATTTAAATATTTGACCCAACATAGCCTCCCAAAGAGGACTAGTAATTAGAACATTGGGTTTCCAGTTCCTGTTTTCTCTTAACTAGCTATATGACTTTGGGCAAGTCATTTTCTCTCTGGGTTTCCTTTTTACTCTGCCTTTTATGTCACTGTTTGGTATTGTGTTACAGTGCTTAGATTAAAATCTGAGAAAGTGACAGCAGTTAATATCAACCCATTCTTGTTGGATAAATATCAGTGATAATTCCTCATAGAATTAAAAATTAGAATTCACACTTATAACGAATCATTACTGGTTTAGAAGTCTTAAATACTTTTGCTTTACTGGAGATACAAGCTTTAGAAAAGCTAATGAGCAAATTGTACGTATTGCAATATTTCTTCCTCAGTAGAAAAATGATAATTTAGAGTTCATGTTTGTGAGACATGAAAAAAGGTAACACAGCCAGGTTAACATTCATTGGAGTGAATCGCGGTTGCTTGGTAATCAGATAATAAGGATTTTATTAAGGTAATTCTGTATAACTTCTTTTTTCCTGATTAGATTTCAAACTTATTTTTCTTCTTTATTTTTATTTTTTAATCCTCACCCAAGGACATTTTTTCTTTTTTTTTGTTCAGATAGAGTGGGAGGAAGAGAGAGAGAGAGAACATCAATGTGAAAGGGACACATCTAGTGGCTGCCACCCACACGACCCAACCAGGGCCGGGGACAAACTGCAACTGGGGTACGTGCCCTTAGCGGGAACCGAACCCAGGTCTCTCTGGACCGCAGGTCAGTGCTCTAACCGCTGAGCCAAACCGGCCAGGGCCACACTCTTATTTTTCTATTGTGGTAAGTATATTTATATAAATATGTATATATTTGCCCTGGCTCAGCGGTTAGAGCGTTGGACAAAGGCACGTACCTCGGTTGCAGTTTGTCCGTGGCCCTGGTTGGGCCGTGCGGGTGGCAGCCACTCCATGTGTCCCTTTCACGTTGATGTTCTCTCTCTCTCTCTTCCTCTCTTTCCCTCTCACTCCATCTGAACAAAAAAAAAGAAAAAATGTTCTCGGGTGAGGATTAAAAAATAAACATAAAGAAAAAAGAATGTATTTGCCTAAATGTACTTACATTCTGTGTATGTATTTATATTTTCTAAATATATGTTTTGTATTGTTCATTCTCCTGAGAAAGAGGACCATAAGGAAGCCAAGGACTAAATCTGTCAAGAATGGAAAAACTGTAAAACAGATGTTTGGATTTTTAATGAAACCAAAAGGTTCTGAAAATAGCTCCAGTGAGAGGAAAGTGACCAAAACTGGTTTGGAAAGTATTGTGATCTTAAACTATTAACAGAAAAGTACTCCCATTTAAAAGTAATCATTTCTACTACAGATTATAAATTTGGTTACTTGTTCTTAGTAATTTTTATTTTCATTATCATTATTATTATTATCATTCTTTTTCTGGGAACAGTGCAACAAGGAAGGCCCCGGAATAGAAGAAGCTACAGGAGAGCCCAGGCTGAGCTGCTGCTACCCATTGCTTGCTCCCCTGGTTGCAAGTCTCGTGGGGTCCTTTAGATTTTAGGAGATACATGCCTGTGGGGGAAGAAGTGGAGGAATGAGAGGGGGAAGGGAATGGCTCAGGCATGCTTCCCAGAGGGAGAACATAAGACTGTTCTTAGTAATTTTTACACCTTGTCTTTGAGAAGTAAGTATTTAAAATAGTGAAATTTGCCGTAAAAGATTTTATATCATACTGTGAATTTCTCAAATATGAATAGGAACCTTATATTGAAATCACATTTTTCCCTTGCAGTCTCACACCATTTTACTGGTACAGCCTACCAAGAGGCCAGAAGGCAGAACTTATGCTGACTATGAATCAGTGAATGAATGCATGGAAGGTGAGTTGAAACACTAATCAAGGGGTAGAAATCTTTTCCCCTTACTTTCACTATTAGAATATGTCTCTTTTAGGAACTGAATTTGTTTTGTCCTCCAAATTGCTTGGATTCTTCATTGAGCAGGGAAGTAGATATTTAGGAATGTTATTAGCTCAGAGAATAAAAGCAAATGGAACCAAATCGGTATAATTTGCTGTGCATTTGATAAGCCCTTAATGTTTCTTTACTCTGTGAACCATTTGATGAGAGTACATAGATTGCATTCATCCTTACATTTAATCATTACAACACATAAATTAGTTGTGCATGCCCTGCATCCTTTCTAGCAAATTGTTCATTCTTTTTCTATAAAGATTTTATAATTACTGTTTTTGCTGCTGTTAGGCATGTCCCTGAATTTGTTTCTATCCAGAGCTGACTGGATTCTACTTAAAATCTGTTCATTTAAAGCCAGCAATGGGTAGACCAATGGAAAAAAAACTATTGTAATAATTAGAGACAGCTTCTAGGTAGCTGGCACCATGCCTCCCTGGTTGCCATCACATTCTGCTCTGATTTTCAAGAACAGGGCTCTTGTCTTTTTTTTTTTTCCAGTTTTCTTTCTCTGCTGACATCCTTGTTTACCATTAAGGTAGACTTTCTTTACATGATGTCTCAGCGGATTGTTGCCTTGCCTATATTATGTTTGGTCTTTGATTTATAATGCTCTTTACTAACCTTCACTGATTTTAGTGAGGCCTAATGTTTTGGTTTTTTTTTTATCCTCACCCGAGGACATTTTTCCATTTTTTTGTTCAGATAGACTGGGAGGGAGGGAGAGGAACATCGACGTGAAAGGGGCACATCGAGTGGCTGCCACCCGCATGACCCAACCAGGGCCGGGGACAAACTGCAACCGAGATACATGCCTTTAGCGGGAACCAAACCTGGGTCTCTCTAGACCGCAGGCTGACGCTCCAACCACTGAGCCAAACCGGCCAGGGCAGGCAGGCCTAATGTATTTTTAATTAGTGCACTTTATTTCTAGAGCAGTTTTAGGTTAGCAGGAAAAATGCACAGAAAGTACAGAAAGTTCCCATTACTGCCCCCTCCCGTTTCTTCCCTGCTAATGTAACACCTTGCACTGGCGTGCTACTTTTTTTTATAGTTGAATCAGTGTTGATACATTATTATTATTATTATTACTAACTAAAGTCCATTGTTTACATTAGGATTCAGTCTTTGTATTGTACAGTTCTGTGGATTTTTGACAAATGCATAATGTAGTGTATCCACCATTACAGTATCAACAAAATACATAGTTTCACTGCCCTAAAAATGCCCTGTGCTCCACATATTCATCTTTTCCATCCCACCCCTGCTCCTGGCAGTCATTGGTCTTAGTGCCTCCATAGTTTTGCCTTTTCCAGAATGTCATAGAGTTGGGATTATTTCTATGTGCAGTCCTTTCAGCCTGGTTTCTTTCACTTAGTAATGTGCTTTTAAGGTTCTTCCATACCTTTTTGTGTTTTGATACCTCTTTTTTTCCTTCTTAAATTAGAAATGGTGATGTATTTTCCACTTAGAAACTTAAAATGGAATTACTGAATCAATTTTCACACAGTGGTTGCCAAATGTTTCTGTGTTTGTTTTGTTGTTAGTCCTCACCTGAGGATACTTTTCCATTGATTTTTAGATAGAGTGGGAAGGAGAGAGGGAGAGACAGACACACACATACACATTGGCTGCCTCCCTCACAACTCCAACCAGGGCTGGGGATGGAACCTGCAACCTAAGTAAATGCCCTTGACCAGGAATTGAACCCAAGACCCTTTGGTCCTAGGGCTGACATTCTAACCACTAAGCCAAACCGGCCAGGGCTATTTTTCCCTCCTCGCCCACCCCCTTTTTTAAATTGATAGATTTTATTTTTTTAGAGTAGCTTAGGTTTACAGAAAATTGGTTAGAAAGTACAGAGAATTCTGTCATATCCCGTCTTCCTTCCCTCCCCTTATTATTTGTATCCTGTGTTCATGTGATACATGTGTTACAATTGTAGAACCAATACATGTTATTACTAACTAAAGTCTGTTCACTCTTTGCTTTGAACAGTCTGTGGGTTTTGACATGTGTGTAATGACATATGTACCATTTACTGCCCTAAAATCCCATTATGCTCCACCTTCCTTAACCCCCAAAACCTCTGACAACCACTCATCTTTTTAATGTCTATAGTTTCACCTTTTCCAGAATATGGATTGGGATCATACAATAAGTGGCTTTTTCAGATTGGTTCTTTGACTTAACAATATGCTTTTAAGGTACCTTCGTGTCTTTTCGTGGCCTGGTAGCTCATTTCTTTTTGTCACTGAATAATATTCTACTGTATGGCTGTACCACAGTTTGGTTATCCATTCACCTATTGAGGGACATCTTGGTTGCTTTCAGGTTTTGGCAATTATGAATAAAGCTGCTACAAACAATTAGTGTGCAAGCTTTTGTGTAGATAGAAGTTTTCAACTCCTTTGGGTAAATAGCAAGGAGTATGATTATTGGATCATATGGTAAGGCTATGATTAGCTTTGTAAGAAACTGAAACTGCCCTGGCCGGTTTGGTGCAGCAGTTAGAGCATTGGCCCGCAGACCATTGCTTTGTGGGTTCACTTCCGATCAAGGGCATGTACTCGGTTGCAGTTCATCCCCTGCCCTGGTGGGGTTGTGGGAGAGGCAACCAGTAGATGTGGCTCTGTCACCTCGATGTTTCTCTCTGTCTCTCTCTCTCCCTCCCTCCCACTCTCAGATGAGGAGTTAAAAAAAAAGAAACTGAAACTATTTTCAGACATGGCTGTATCATCTTGCATTCCTACCAGCAATGAATGAGAGTTCCTATTGCTCCAAGTTCTTGGCAGCATTTGGTGTTGTCAGTGTTCTTTGCCATTCTAATAGGTGTGTAGAGATATCCCATTGTTTTAATTTGCAGTTTCCTGATGTTGAGCATCTTTTTCTAATGGTTATTTGCCATCTGTTCAGATCTTTTGACCATTTTTTGAGTTATTTTCTTACTGTTGAGTCTTCAGGGTCCTTTGTATATTTTGGATAACATTTCTTTATCAGATATATGTATTGCAAAGATTTTTCTTTCCGTTTGTAGCTTGTCTTTTTACTTACCGTGTCTTTGAAGCACAAAAGGTTTAAATTTTGATGAACTGCATTTTTTCTTGTTACTTGTGATTTTGGTGTCATATCTAAGAACCCATTGCCTTGTACAGAGTCATGAGGATTCTTCCAGGGGTTTTATAGTTTTGGCTCTTACATTTAGGTCTCTGAGCCATTTTAAGTGAATATATATGCTGTGAGGTATGAGTCCAACTTCATTTGTATATGAATGTACAGTTGTCCTAGCATCTTTTGTTGAAAAGACATTCTTTCTCCATTGAATTATCTTGGTATCCTCGTCAGAAAGCAATTGATCTTAAACATAAGGGTTTATTTCGGAATTCTTGTGTTCTTTCCATTGATCTGTATACCTGTTTTTAATGCATAAGCATTACCACACGGTCTTGATTACTGTAGTTTTGGGATCAGAAAATTTGAGGCTCAACTTTGCTCTTTTTCAAGATTGTTTTGGTTATCCTGAGTCCTTTGTATTTCCTATCAAATTTAGGGTCAGCTTGTCAATTTCTGCAAAAATAGCTTTTTTTTTTTTTTTAAGATATGTTTTTATTGATTTCAGGGAGAGGGAGAGAGAGAAAGAAACATCAATGAATATTAATAAGCTTTCTCCTGCATGCTCACCACCTGGGCATGTGCCCTGACGGGGAATCGAATTGGCGACCTCTTTGTGCATGGGACATCACTTGGCCAATTAAACCACAGCAGCTGGGCATAGCTCGGATATTGATAGAGTTTGCATTGAATCTATAGATCATTTGGGGATTGTTACCATCTTAATATGAAGTGCCCCTGACCCCCCTGGCTGATGTGACTCAGTGGATTGAGCAACCTCCCAAGAACTGGGAGGTCCCAGTTCGATTCCTGGTCAGGGCCCATACCTGGGTTGCAGGCTCCAACCCCAGTAGGGGACATGCAGGATGCAACCTATCCATATTTCTCTTTCCTGTCGATGTTTCTATCTCTCTCCCTTCCTCTCTCTCTAAAAAAATCAATTAAAAAAATATATTTTAGCCCTGGCCCAGTGGTTAGAGTATTGGCCCACGGATCAGAGAGTCCTAGGTTCGGTTCCCCCTAAGGGCATGTACCTCAGTAGCATTTTGTCCCTGGCCCCTGTTGGGGTCGTGTGGGTGGCAACTAGTAGATGTGTGTCTCTCTCTCTCTCCCCCCCTCCTTCTCTCCCTCCCACTCTATCTGAAGATAAATGCAAAAATGTCCTCAGATGAGAATAAAAGTTTTGTTCTTTTTTTGTGTACTATTCATGGAGTTTTGTGTTTTGTTTGTTTGTTTTTCTGTTTTTAGAAAGAGGGGACGTGGGGAGAGAGGAGAAACGTCCATTTGTTCTTCCACTTATTTGTGCTTTCATTGGTTGATTCTTATATGTGCCTGGACCAGGGATGGAACCTTGGCGTAAGGGGATGACACTAACCAACTGAGCTATCCAGCCAGAGCCTGAAGCTATTTCCTTTTCAGATAGTTTATTGTTGGAGTATAGAAATACAATTGAGCCCTGGCCGGTTTGGCTCAGCGGTTGGAGCGTCGGCCTGCGGTACAGAGAGACCCGGGTTCGATTCCCGCTAAGGGCACGTGCCTTGGTTGCAGTTTGTCCCCAGCCCTGGTTGGTTGTGCGGGTGGCAGCCACTCGATGTGTCCCTTCACATCGATGTTTCTCTCTGTCTCTCTTCCTCTCTCTCCCTCCTGCTCTATCTGAACAAAAAATGGAAAAATGTCCTCGGGTGAGGATTAAAAAAAAAAAAAAAGAAAGAAATACAATTGATTTTTGTATATTGGTCTTATATCCTGCAATCTTGCTGCATTAATTTATTAGTTCTATTGGGGAGGGGGTGTGTGTGTGTGTGTTTCCTTAGGATGTTCTGCATACATGATCATGTCATCTGTGAATAGAGATAGTTGCACTTCTTCCTTTTCAATCCGAATGAGTGTTACTTCTTTTTCTTGCCAAGTCACTCTTGCCAGCACCTCCAGTTCAGTGTTGAATACAAGTAACAAGAACAGGTAGATATTCTAGTGTTCTTCCTCCTAATCTGAGTGGGAAAGCATCTAGTCTTTCACCATTACGTACAATGGTAGCTGTGGGTCAGTGCAAGTATTTGAAGTGGGAATGGACTAAAAAGGTTATGCTTGCATTTTGTAGGAACAAGAGGAGTGTGTCACTGAATAAAAAGTTAATAATGTGCTCTTTAAATAATTATGTTAATGTAGGCTTGCTATAAGTGACTTTGTTCATTTTGTCTTTTTATTACTTGTATTTGAGTACTTATGTGTTTATTACACGTGCTAGTACTTTTTATGCATTATTTCATACACTCTTCACAACAGCCTTGTGAAGATACTGTTATCTCCCTTTGGCAGGGTTCAGGAGGTGGAATCAAGTCTCTGAATCCAGAGTCAAGGATGTTAGATAGTCTTTTATGATAATATCTTCCTCATTGCCAATTTCGTTTTGTTTTTTGTTTTGGGGTTTGTTTTTTGTTATTGTATGTGTGGGTTATGGTGGTGGTGCACTGTCAAATTTTGAAAGCAAAATAGAAAAGCATCCATTTGTCATCCATCATTCTCAAGTGTGGTGTTTTTCTTTGATGCTTTGGAATGTTTATTTAGTGAAAAACCTGATAAAAGCCATAATTTAGTCCTTACTTGTTTGAACCATCATATGACAAGTCTTTAAAGTCCCATTAAATCCAGTGGCTGGAAGTAATCATTTTATTACTAAGGCACAAAATAACCAACATTTTGGTGTGTGTATATATATTTTTCAAATGCATATAAGTATAATCAATGGACATATACAATGCTGGGGGGTGGGAACAGGAGGAGGGTATCAATGGGGGGAAAAGGAGAAACATCTATAACAAAAATAAATTAATTAAATATAAATAAATGTGGAATGCTTCACAAATTTAAATTTAAGTGACCAACTTACTTTCTTTTCCCAGCCCAAGTAAGTGTTGTGATGTCATTATATAACACTACTCATACCAAAAGTTTATGCAGTTGTAAGATCTTGATTTTCTCCCCAATTCTCTTAGGCGTTTGTAAAATGTATGAAGAACATCTGAAGAGAATGAATCCCAACAGTCCCTCTATTACATATGATATCAGCCAATTGTTTGATTTTATTGATGATCTGGCAGACCTCAGCTGTCTTGTGTAAGTATTTACTACCGTGTCGCTTACGTTGTATTTTTCTATTGTTTATTCATCTGTTTGTGGCAATTTATGGTATTAGGAGCTCAGTCTGGGCCTGACATCTTTGAATTTTGATTGCTAGGTAGTAATTAATATTTTATCTACAAATGGCTCATAAATTAAGTTGGCAACATAAAGACACAGGAAAATCTAAAGAACTTTGCTAATTGATGCAGTTAGTATGCAGGAGATGCTAACTAAGAAGTTCAAAGTTCTTTGTTCCTTAAACCAAACAATCTTTTTTCTTAGTTTTTCTTCCCTTTGTCTTTGTCCTTAAAACAATTGGCTTTGGATTAAAACTACAGTTATTTTGTCTTCACAACAATATTTTCTAAATGTAACTACATTCAAGACTAATATGGAATTCAATTTTAATCCTACCCAGTGTTAACTATGTATATTTTGTAATGTTAGAGTAAGATTTTTTAAACCCATGTGTTTTCTATTCTCAGAAATTTGTCCAATTAAAATTAATTTTCATGCCAGACACTGTGCTAGAAGTAAATGTTTTTCAGTGATAAAACAATATGTAGATCCTGCCTGGCCAGTGTGGCTCAGTGGTTGAGCGTTGATCTATGTACCAAGAGATCGCTGGTTTGATTCCTGGTCAGAGCACATGGCCAGGTTGTGGGCCTGATCCCTAGTGCGGGGCATGCAAGAGACAGCCAATCTGTACTCTCTCTCATTGATGTTGCTATCTCTCTCTCTCTCCTCTCTCTAAAGTCAATAAAATTTTTTTTTTTTAAATATGTAGGTCCTGATTTTAATATAGAAAGCTATGAGAGGCCAAGAAAGCTGTAATTATGCTAATGAGAAAAGAGGAATTGTAGGCAGCCGATGAGAAGGAGAGCAGAGAAATGATGGTATATGATCTAATGGAGAGAGCGAGATTGATGGCTTTAGTTAGGGTTATGGACAGTTCATTAATAGTAAAGTGGGGAATGCAGGCAGATGTGGAAGCTTGGGGAAATAGTTTTCTGATTGTTTTAGTTACCTCAGGAAAATAGGAAGCATGGACACCATTTAGAGTTAAGGGTGTGGGAGGAGATGTGGAAGGTTTGTGAAAAGAGGTAGCAAATAACCTAGGAAGGTGAAGGGATTAGGAAAACGTGTAATGCATGAAGTATCTAATAATGAATTTAAAATGAAGTAAGTCATTGTGATAATATAGTCACTCTTAACCTGATGGTTACAGGTAGAGAATTAGTAAACATATTATTAAAAGTTGAAGGTAGCCCTGGCTGATTTGGCTCAGTGGTTAGGGCGCCGGCCTGCGGTCCAGAGACACCCCTGGTTTGTTCCCCGCTAAGGGCATGTACCTTGGTTGCAGTTTGTCCCTGGCCCTGCTTGGGTCGTGTGGGTGGCAACCATTCGATGTGTCCCTTTCATCTCTCTCTCTCTCTCTCTCTCTCTCTCTCTCTCTCTCTTCCTCTCTTCCCCTCCCACTCTATCTGAACAAAAAAATGAAAAAATGTCCTCGGGTGAGGATAAAAAAAAAAGTTGAAGGTATATGCAAGGGATTGAATGACCACGAAATAAATGTAAGTGGGGAGTGGGGTAAGTAAAAACAGGGGTAGAATTGATTAATTATAGGTCCCAGTGGGGTCAGAGGGTTGTTCAAATTGGGCAGTTGGGAAGTAGTAGTGATCAAAGAACGAGATGCTTGAAATTGGGATATTGAAGTTGATAGTAATGACGAGGTATAGGGCTCTGGCCAAGGAAGGGAAAGAGACAAGATCATTGGAAAAGAGTTCAAGAGTGAGGCCCAAATGTTGGCAGACTCATATACTGGATATGAAATCACCGATAACATATATTTACTTTCTAGAATTTAATCTGAGAACAGGGAGTGGAATGGGGAGGTACTTAAAGCTAAGGATCATGTTTTAGTCAACTCGAGAGGTTTTGGTTAAGAGCTAGCTGGAGTTTCAGAATTAGCCATAGCTGACTTTGAATGCTGGCTGCCTGGGACAAGTTAGCTTAATATTGCTAATCTTAAATTTGCTCATTTGGAAAATTTAAATAAATTTAACTCACAGTAGGACATGTGAGGATCCAGTGCTTGCTTAGAACAACAGTATTGGGTAGATAACAGGAACTCCATTTTTAAATAGATTAACAAAATCAGGGCAGGGTTTTGAATTATGATTCAGTTGTTTCTTTCAAATTTGCCCACTAGAATCTTCAAATGCCACAAGTGAGTTAGATTGTACTGTTAACTACGCCCTGGCCGGTTTGGCTTAGTGGTTAGAGTGTCAGCCCGCGGACCAATGAGTCACGGGTTCGATTCCGGTCAAGGGTATATGCCTCGATTCGTCCCTGGCCCCAACCCGATGTGTTGCTTTCACCTCAGTGTTCTTTCTCTCTTTCTCTTTCATCCCTCCCTCCCACTCTGAACAAAAATGGGGGGGGTGTCCTTGAGTGATGATTTTTTTAAAAATTGTACAGTTAACTAATAAAGAGGTATTGGCGGGGTTTCGATAGTGGAAATGACACAAAAATGGTTTTAAGTGACACACTGCAAGTATGTCATTAAGAACAGAACATTTCTAACTTTGTGTCATTAAATGTAAATCAGAAACTATATCTAACGTGCTAAAATTATTTCTAGTGTTTGTATTATTAGTCTGTCTGAAAAACCATAAATTGTAGCTTATGTTTCTGTCTCTAATGTTAAAACTTTTTTTGGCCTCTGAAAATTTTCAGAGTCAAATTTAGGATTTGGAACCATTTTGCCCATAGGATTTTATGTTCCTTTTGTTATTTGTATATTCCAGAGAAAACAGGTATTGTTTCCAAAGAATACACCTATTATCATGGCACTTATGGCAGTTAACACATCCTGCCCCTCCCCCTTTTCAGGGATTGTGACTTGGGCTGTTTATTCCTTAGATACTGATTTTTAGAGAGGGGGTGAGGGAGCGGGAGCGGGGAAAGAGAAACACCCATGTGAAAGCAAAACATCTGTCAGCTGCCTCCAGCATGCCTCCTACCAGAGAATCGAGCCTGCAACCCAGGGATGTGCCCTGACCAGGCAACCTTTTGGTGCACTGGAACACACCCAGCCAACTAAGCCGCACTAGCACTGGCCAGGGCGAGACCAATTTTGTTTTGTAAATTATTGTGTACTCATGGCTTCTGAAGTTTATTTGGCAGTGACATTGGACTTTTTATAAGATGAAAATAACAGCCTTTTGAATATATAGGCTGTTTTTGTTTGTTTAAAGACAAAAGAAACTATTTATTCTTAGTTATTGTAATTAGAAGGTACTCCTAATCAGGAAGACAACCTGATAGCAGTGAAGACACTGACTTCACTGCTCAGCCCCACAGTTTCTGTTCTATAAACCTGTGGTCATTGAACATAGCACTAGGCTAAAAGATTAATCTGTGCCAACAGCTTGGGGTTTTATAAATTACTTAACATTTAATTGTCTCATTTTCAAGCACCAGTTAACAGCCTTGATCAACACATAGCTTTCCATAAAGAAAGCATTATTACTTTTTTTTAATTCTCACCTGAGGATTTTTGCATTCATCTTCAGATAGAGCGAGAGGGAGAGAGGAGAAAGAGAGAGAGAGAGAGAAACATAGATGTGAGAGAGACATATCAAGTAGTTGCCAACCATACGACCTCAAATGGGGCCAGGGACAAACTGCAACCGAGGCATGTGCCCTTAGCGGGAACCGAACCCAGGTCTCTCTGGTCCGTGGGCCGACACTCTAACCACTGAGCCAAACCGGCCAGGGTGCATTATTACTTTTTTATTGAGTTGGAAAATAGCCTGTGAGTTGATGGATTCCTAAATATTCACTACTAAAGTGATCTTGTTTGGTGGTGTCTAAATAAGGCTGTATCACCCAGATACATAGTTCTGAAATTTGCTATTCCTTTTTCAGTTCTTTTCTAGTGTTAATATAAATATTGTAGTCTATTCTGCCATAGCTGAGAGTAGGCTAGATTAATACTTATTTAATTAGAACGCATGAAAAAAAGGGTATTCAAAGAAAATTGTTTTATTTTTTTAGAAAGTTCTCATTGTAACCAAAGGACATTAATAAAAAGCCAAATGTTTCTTTTTATTTGATTTAAGTATTTTGTGTAAGTAGAAAGCTTGTTCATTTTTAATAAACTGTTCTGGGAAGAATATGACAATGCCTTTGGAGTTTGTTTCTCTTGCCAAAAATTGGAACTCAGTGGTTAACAGTGACCACTCTGCTTGGGAGTGTTTAAACATGTACTACTCTCCCAAAATCAGTTAGCTAGTAAGTTGCTGTACTTCTTTGAGCCTTGGTTTCCTCCTTTATAAAAGGATAATAATTGGTCTGGCCGGTGTGGCTCAGTGGTTGAGCATCAACCCATGCACCAAGAGGTCCCCAGTTCAATTCCCAGTCGGGGCACCTGCCCAGGTTATGGACCCAATCCCCAGTGAGGGGGCGGGGGGTGGAGCATGCAGGAGGTGGTCAATCAATGTTTCTCTCTCCCTCTTCTTTCCTCTCTAAAAATTAATAAAGAAAAAAATTTTTTAATAAAAGGATAATAATTGTATCTACTCACACAGGGTTGTAAAAAGGATTGAGTTGATTCAGATAAGCACTTAAGCTATTCCCATCATGCCCGGACCATTTGCTCGGTGGTCAGAGCTTCATCTCTTGCACCGAAGTGTCTCCGGTTGGATTCCCAGTCAGGAGCATGTACCTGGTCGCAGATTTGATCCCCACCCCCCCCCAGGGCTCCTGGCAGAGGCAGCCAGTTGATGTTTCTCCCTTTCTCTCCCCTCCCCCTTCTCCCTCCCTTCCCTCTCTCAAAATCAAGAGAAAAATCTCCTGGGGGCAGGATTAACAAAACAAAGCTATACCAGTTGGCAACTCCTTAATAGGTATTTATGTAATTTTTTGCTAAGAAGGTAAAAAATGAAACTTCTGGCTAAAATGAAACAATCATTGATAAGTTAGGTAATTTTGTTTTCCTATGTCAGTGATTTTCAACCTTTCTCATCTCATGGCACACAAAACTAATTACAAAAATTCTACAGCATGCCAAAATATATATATATTTTGCTGATCTGACAAAAAAATAATAAGGGAAAAGAGGTCAGTGCTCCTGACTAAAATAGTCAGGCATTGCATGTTCTAAAAAGTCTTGCAGCACACTGGTTAAAAATCGCTCTCCTAGGGTATCCCTAAGGTTGTTGGTTTTTTTTAGGCAAACTACACTCTCTCCTCTCTTGGATGCCATGCAGTTTTTCTACCAGTTGATACCCATGGTTTTGAAACACTGGGATATGCTTTGTATTTGCGCAATCTTTTTTTCTTTATTTTTTTTACCTCAAAAATGAATTAATTGCTTACCTAGCTAGATTTCAGTTGTAGGTCAGATGAATGTTTCTATTTTTTGAGTCCTTTAAAGATACCTTGAGTGATTGGCTATAACGTGAAACTTTAGCCCTGGCTGGTATCGCTCAGTGGTAAGAGCGTTGCCCATGGACTGCCCAAGGACATAATCATTTTTTGTTCAGATAGAGTGGGGGGAGGGGGGGAGAGAAAAACATCGACGTGAAAGGAACACATCGAGTGGCTGCCACCCGCATGACCAACCAGGGCCAGGGACAAACTGCAACCAAGGTACGTGCCCTTAGCAGAAACTGAACCCGGGTCTCTCTGGACTGCAGGCCGATGCTCTAACCGCTGAGCAAAACTGGCCAGGGCTTATCATATTTTATTTTATTTATTTTTTTTTTTTATCCTCACCCGAGGATATTTTTCCATTTTTTGTACAGATAGAGTGGGAGGGAGAGAGAGGAAGGGAGAGAGAGAGAGAGAAACATCGACGTGAAGGGACACATCGAGTGGCTGCCACCCGCACGACCAACCAAGGCCGGGGACAAACTGCAACCGAAGTACGTGCCCTTAGCGGGAACCGAACCCGGGTCTCTCAGGAACGCAGGCCGACGCTCTAACCGCTGAGCCAAACTGGCCAGGGCGGGCTTATCATATTTTAAGTAGATGGATAAACACATGAGCATTTAAGGTCTCCCAGGTCTTGGTTTCTTTTTCTGCTATAAGATTGTACTAAGTGATCTATAGTTCATGTTGCTTAAAAATTCAACATCTTATGTAATCAGCTCTTTTACATTTTCATTAAGTTCTTGTATGAACATGTGCTTATCTATGTCATCATTGGGCAGCTGTAATTTGCGGGGTCTTTTTTGTTTGTTTTTTACATGACAATAATTTACCATTTTAACTTACTACTTTTCTGTTCCTCAGTTACCGAGCTGATACCCAGACATACCAGCCTTATAACAAAGATTGGATTAAAGAGAAGATCTACGTGCTCCTTCGTCGGCAGGCCCAACAGGCTGGGAAATAGTTGTGTTGGAAGCACTGGGGGTTGGGGGTGGGCTTGGAACACAGGTGTGTACAGCGATCTGTAGTGGAAGTTTTGTATTATAGTAATCCTGTTTCCATTTTGGTACATTCTAGCCAGGATTGAATGTGTTAGATGAAATGTGAGGATCTTGTTCAATCTGAACTTCCATCACCCCCTTTTTTTTCTTTTTTTTTTTACTTAAACATTATGATTTAGAAGGAAGTTTTTCTTTGTCAAGTTAATGTTGGTTCCAATCGTTTAAAAACTGTTCATATCTACTTTATAACATTCACTGTACTAACCCTTCTTCAAGTTTGGGTGGGGGGTGGTAATACAGTTTAATTATGTCCTAAGATAAAGTCTTAGTGAAAAACAAATAAATGATCTTTAGTTATATTTTTCCCCTGTGTGATTTTTTTTATTTTTTTGTCTTTGAACATTAAATTTTCTTGGAAAGCATTATCAGTGTCGAAACCAATGGACTTCTACAGAATTTTAATTTTAATTTTGATGTGATTATATGAAGCTATCAAGCTTTCACCTTATTTTTCTAGTTTTGTGCGTGAATCTGATTTGTAGATCCAAAGTTAGTGCTTACTGTGGACGCAAACATTATGAAAGACTTTCTGGTGACATGGCTTGTCTGTAGCAGCTCAGTTAGTTCCTTCACTTCAGTCGTGGACTCGCCGCAGGAAGTGCTTTGCCCTTCTCGTGGCCTTCAGCGGAGTGCTGCTTACCACTCTTGTCACGAAAGTATGGGGTGAGGGAAAGACCCCAGAGAAGGAAAGATAGGCTTTTAATGTAGAGTGTGGTTACAGTGTGGCTTCAGCGTACACTGTGTTGTACCTCTAGTCATCGAGTATGTGGAAATTTCCTGATTGTGCTATTATGACTGATAGCCAGTATCTTTATGCAACAGAAGTTTGGCAGGTTTTTTCGGAGGCTTCATGAGTGCTACCCTATATTCCCCTTGTCCCTTCTACATTAGGGCCACAACTATTTTTCTTGTTTTATGCAGGACCAAATTTTAAGTTAGTGTTTATATGTGCTCACTTTTTCTACAGAATAATTCTATTGTCATCACTGTATCAACTGATTATTAAAAGTAGGATGCCTTACAAAATTGTGTATAGCTGTAGTTATTTCGTGTGAACCAGCCAAATTTTAAAGCTAAAAAGTTTTCACACAAAAAAAATGGATCCAAAAGTAAATCATATTGCCTGCTTTTCACTTGGCCTGTCTTAATATAGTTTTATTTCTCTAACAGATAAGATTTTTTTTTTACTACTTTAGAGCACATCTGGAGAGAATGGGATCCCTTGATTCTTAGATTCAGTAGTTTCTGGTATTGGATTTACAAAGGAAAATAGAATTTCCTGTGGAATGTGAGAAAACATCTGGGTCCTAGATATTGGGTGAGGGGCGCATTGTTTTGAATCATACTTTATAATGCTTAAGGCAGAATGGGGCAAATAAATATGGAGAAATGCACATTTAACTGTCTAATATCACAGACGAGAAGGAGCCTTTTCATTGTTAAGGTGAAGTGTGATGAAACGTAGTGGTTTGGCCGAGCTACAGCTACTGTTCCATGTCAGGGAGCTGGAGTATTGATTGTGTGGCCTTTCCCCAACCACAAGTAATACAGGCTTGATTTCTATTTATAAAGTGATATTTTATGCTGCTACATAAAGGTGGAACCTGCCAGACAAATTACAAAATTCCTGGTTCTGTAATTTACCTGATTTTATATCCCTGGAAATTGCTAAAATACTTCTTGACAATACTGCTGCTTTCTTTAAGCATTTGGTCTGAGAGGTTGCAGGATTATGTATAAAAGGGGATTTTAACTGTCTCTCTTCACTTGCAGTTCTCTGGCTTGAAATATTTCAGCAACTCACCAGATGCCTTGAACAAGTTGTATCTTATTCCTGTTGTTGGGGTGGAAATGGTGGTGAACTATTTTACTTCAAGCAAGGAATAAATGGACAGTGTTTCACTGTCCTAAAGCAGACCAGACTCTGGGTTGGGGAAAGAGGGCAGGGCAGTTGTTAGTATAACATCAGCTTGGTACCAGTATGGCCCATTCTCTATCAGATTGTTTTTGAAGATTGGAATGAAAATCAGGATTAATATATGAACTGTTCAATAAATACTGTACTTGTAGAAGGAATATTAATTTCTATATTAGCATAATTATACTGGCATTGCCATTTAGGCATAGCATTTACTGCTTGGGAAACATTTATTTATTTGTTTGTTTTTTAAATATTTTTTTCCTTATTGATTTTAGAGAAAGGAAAAGAGAGAGAGAAACATCGATGAAAGAGAACATCGATTGGCCTCCTCCTGCAGGCCCCCCGCTAGGGATTGGGCCCACAACCTGGGCATGTCCCCTGACCAGGAATTGAACTGGTGACCTCTTGGTGCATGGATCAGTGTTCAACCAGTGACCCACACCAACCGGGCTGTTTGTTTATTTTTAAAATATTTTTTCTAATTGACTTTTTAGAGAAAAGGAGAGAGAAACATCGATGTCAAAGAGAGATGTGGACCGGCTGCCTCTGGCACTCCCCCTACTGGGGATTGAGCCCACAACCCGGGCATGTGCCCTGAGCAGGAATTGAACTGGGACCTCTCAGTCCATGGGATGATGCTCAATCCACTGAGCCACACTGGCTGGGCTACATATCTTGTTTAATTACAGCAACGTTTGGAGGTAGGAAATAATTATTCCTCTACTAATGGTGAAAAACTAGTTTCAGGTTCTTCAAGTGATTTGCCCAGATCACACAGTAGTACCACAAAAACTTTGCTAGATGAAAAAGACATGGTCTTAACCTCAAAGATCTTGAGGGGCGTTGGGAGCCCCACAAAATGAATAGTTGTGAGGTAAGCAATGGATCTCTAATGCCTATCAAAGAAAACTTTTTAAACTCAAATATTTGGATTCAGAAGACCTGAATAGGTCACATATGTCACCAGTTTACTCAAAAGCATATAGACAGAAGACGAAGACAGCTCACCAACCCAGCATCATTAAGTGTTTCTCTTCCATGAGCATAAGGAGTCCTCGTGGCAGTTCACACAGCCATCCGAGAATTATTCTCTGCAATAGAAGCCAGTCTTGTAACAACTCCACAGACCTAGCTTCTAGGTTGCTGCGAGAGACATGAACTCCAGTTATGAGTCACTGCGTCAGAGAAGCACAAAGCTATTCTTCCCTCTAGATAGTTTTCACTCAGTCCAGATATAAGTTAATCCATTAGAGGTCATTTATACCATAAGCAATCTTGCCTACTAATACATTCCATCATTTCTCCTTGGGAACACAGCCAAAGCTAGGAAATTATCCCAAGGTCAAATCTGTCCATATGGCAGAAGGAGCTTTGTTAATCCTTTGTCCACAGGATTTGAGAAGTGTGAGATGTCACATCTAGGTGGCTTCACGAAGAAGGAGCTGTGCCTTGAAGAATGGCTAAAATGTGAAAACGGAAATGGGACAGGAGTAATCAGAGGTAGTAAAGAACTGGGAATGTTAGAACAGCAAGTGAGCCATCATGGCTGGAACCAAGTGAGTCTTAGGTAGGAGAGGTGATATAAAAGCCAGGAAAGCTGATATCGGAGTGCCTCAAACGTGAAGCTACTGAGTTTAATCTTCCAGGCTGTGGACAGTCGAAAGATTTTTAAGACACTGCCTGTCCAATCTTTGCATTGAAAAGGACCAAACACTGCTCTGTAGACTAGATTGGAAAAAATATATAATGTCCTAGAAGTCAAGAGAATTTTCCAGTGAGACAGGTAAGATGAGGAATAAAAAGGCTCTGGATTTGGAGTTTAGGAAGTCTTTTTCAGCAGTGTAATATGAAGACCAAAACCAAATTTTCAGATTAAGGGAAATAGAGTAAGTATATGCAAGGAAGGCCAAGTTCATTGGAAAGGAGGAAAGAAACGAGTATAATATGGAATAAATTGGAAGGACACTTAAAAAAATAAAGGCAATTTGCTCGTATATAAAAATAGAGAAAGGGTCTAAGACAAAAAATGTAATTGAAAATTACGGTGAAAAATTGCAGTGCCAGTAGGGAAGGCATTAAGGTGTACTGATGAAATAATGAAGCTCAGAAGAGAAACTGAAGAAAGTTGCGGGGGTTTGCGTTAAATGGTCTCAATCCATTAAATGGGTAAAAGAGGTCACCATCTTTTTTTTTTTTTCTTTTTTTTTTTTTTATCCTCACCCGAGGATATTTTTCCATTTTTTGTACAGACAGAGCGGGAGGGAGAGAGAGAGAGAGAAACATCGACGTGAAGGGACACGTCGAGTGGCTGCCAACCGCACGACCAACCAGAGCCGGGGACAAACTGCAACCGAAGTACGTGCCCTTAGCGGGAACCGAACCCGGGTCTCTCCAGACCGCAGGCCAACGCTCTAACCGCTGAGCCAAACTGGCCAGGGCAAGAGGTCACCATCTTTGAGAAGGGGGGGATTAGATGTATCAGGCCTTGAAGACAGTGGGAAACATTTGGAACAAATGTAACTCCCCAGAATCACTCAACCAATGAGAAAAAAGGAGAGTGCTTTTTTCAGTAAAAACCATTTACGGTAGCCTATACTGTGTCATACAGAGGTACTGTACCTGAATGCCTTATCTGTCTTTATTCCTGCATATCAATTGTTTTTTCATAACTAGAAATAGAGATTTAAGAGCAGTGATGCAAGGTCAAGAAGTAAAACCCAGGTCTGTGTGACTCCAAGGGTCACATTCTTTCCACCTCCGCAGAGGATTCCAAATAGTGGTCTGCCGACTGTACCCCCCACAATCACTTGGGAAGCTTTTTAAAAATCGGATTCCCAGACCCTTCCTTTGGATTAAGGATCAGCAAACATTTTAATACTTTAGATTCCAGGCCATAAATGGTCTCTGTCACACATTCTTCTTTGAATTTTTTTTACCCTTCAAATACGTAAAAACCATTCTTAGCCTGACATCCGTACAAAAATAGACTGTAGGCTGGATTTGGACTGCAAATTAGTTTGCCAGCCCTGGCTCTGGAGAATCTGATTCAGTCCATCTCAATTAGGACCTGGGAAAATGAGGATTGATTGATTGATTGATTGATTGATTGATTGATTTAAATCCTCATCTGAGGATATTTTTACATTTATATTCAGACAGAGTGGGAAGGAGAAAAAGGAACATCAATATGAGAGAGACACATCGACTGGTTGCCACCTGCATGACCCCAACTCAGGCTGGGGACAAACCGCAACTGAGGTACATGCCCTTGGCTGGAATCAAACCTGGGCCAACACTAACTGCGGAGCCAAACCGGCCAGGGCGAATTGTTTTTTTAATTGATTTTTAGAGAGGAAGGGAGAAGGAGAAAGAAATA